TTGACTTATGTATACACACATGCAACAATCACCAGTCAGAATAACATAACAATCACTCCCAAAATTTACTGTGTGCCTTTGTAATTCTTCCTTCCTGCCCCTCTTCATCCACCTCTGTCCCCAAGGCAACCACTGGTCTGCTTTCTGTCACCATACATTAGTTTGCATTTGCCAGAATTTTATACAAAAGGAATCATATAGGATGTGCTCCCTTTTTTCTAACTTCTTTCACTCAGCACAATTATTTTGAAATCCATCAATATTGTAGAATGTATCAAGTTAATCTCTTTTTATTACTGAAGAGTACTTTCTTTATATTCAACTGCAGTGAACATTTGGAAATTTTCCAGTTTGGGGCTATCACAAATAAATCTGATATGAACCCTTGCTTACAAGTCTTTGTATGGATACATGTTTTCATTTCTCCTGAGTAAATTATCTAAAAGTGGAATGGCAGGATCATATAGTAGGTGGATGTTCAATTTTAAGAAACTGCCAAACTGTTTGCCAAAGAGGTTGCATCATTTAACATACCCACAAACGCTGTAAGAGTGCTCAAGTCCCACCACATCCTTACAACAGTTGGTATGGCCAGTCTTTTTAACTTTATTCATTCCAAATAGATGTGTGTTATCCCATCGTGGTTTTCATTTACATTTACATTTCCTAACAATTAAAGATGCTGAGCATCTTTCCAAGTGTTTGTCATCTATGTATCTCCATAGTAAGGTGTGTTCAAATCTTTTCTGATTTTTAAAATTGGGTAATTTTATTATTGAGTTTTTGACAGTTCTTTATATATTCGGAATTTATTAGATACATGATTTTCAAATATTTTTCCCAGTCTGTAATTTGTCTTTTCATTCCCTAACAGTGTCTTTTAAAGAGCAGAAGTTTTTAATTTTTACAGAGTGATTTATCAATTTCTTCTTTTATGGATCATACTTTTCGTGTCTTCTCTAAGAAATCATTCCCTAATCCAACTTTCTTTTCTCAAAGTTTTATCACTTTAGGCTTTACATTTAGGTCTTTGATTCATTTTTACTTAATTATTATATATGTCTTGAAGTACTGGTCAGATTTCATTTTATGACATACAGATATCCAACTGTTTCAGTACTGTTTGTTGAAAGAACTATCCTTTCTCCAGAAAAAATGCCATTGTACCTTGTGGAAAATCAGTTGTTCATATGTTTCATCTTTCTTTTTGGACTCTCTATTCTATTCCATTAACTGTTTTCTTTTGATGTGAATACCACATTGTCTTAATTACTGCAGCTTTATAAATCTTGAAATCAGGTAGACTTCCAACTTTGTTCTTTTTCAAAGTTGTCTTAACTATTCTAGACATTTTGCATTTTTCTACGAATTTTAGAATCAGCTAGTCAGTTTCTACAAAAATGTTGACTGGTACTTTGACTGAGAATGCTATGAATCTATAGATTACCTTGGAGAAAATTGACATTTTTAACAATATTGAGTCTACTGATCCATAAATAAGGCATATAGTCACCAATTATTTAATTTTTTTATTTTTCTTAACTGTGTTTTAAAGTTTTCAGTGTATGGATCTTCAACATCTTCGTCAGATTTACCCCTAAGCATTTAATATATTCGCTATTACTACAAATGGCATTTGTTGCTTTTTCATTTCAGTTTCTAATTGTTCCTTGCTGTTATACAGAAACAATTTATTTTTGTACATTGAGCTTCTACCTTCAACCTTAGTTAACTCACTTCGTTCTTCTAGTAGTTAGAACATGTAATCTGTGAATAATGACAGTTTCACTTCTTCCATTCTAATCTAGTTGACTTTTTATCTCTGTTTCTTGCCTGATTGCGCTGCCTAGAAGCCCCAGATCAATGTTGAAAAGAGGCAGCAGTGAGAGTGTTCCTGATCTCAGGAGAAATGCAATATTCAGTGTTTCACCACTAAATATGATGTCAGCTTTGGCTTTTCTTAGACATTTTTTTACAGGTTAAGGACATGGACTTCTATCCCAGTTTGCTGAGACTTTTTAATCAAAAACAGATGTTGGATTCTGTCAAATGCTTTCTCTGCATCCACTGAGATGCTCATATGGTTTTTGTTTTTTACTTTCTTAATATGGTGAACTGTAATGATTAATTGTTGAATGTTAAACTAACCTTGCATTCCTAGAATAAACCCTTCTTGATCTTTTTATATATTGCTGGATTCTATTTGCTAAAATTTAGTTTACAATTGTTACATCTATGTTCACGAATGATACTGCATTGTCGTTTTCTTTGTCTGGTTTTTGTATCAAATAATGTTGATTGTTTTAAGTAGGAGGGTAAATTAGGTCCCTGTTACTCTCCCTTAGCCAGAAGTACTCTGCTAAATGGTAATTATGTTATTATCTCATCTATTCCTTCCTAGTTTAGAAGGTACATATTATTACCATCATTTTATATACAGGAGAAATGGGAAACGGGGAAAAATTGAGGCTCAGAGAGCAAGGGGGTACAGCTCTTTCTAGCTGGAACAAAGGTTTGAATCAAGACAGTAGGAATCTAAAACCCACTCTCAACCTTCTACTATACTGCAATACTTAAACAGTGTTCAAAAAACATCTCTTTAAACACATAATTTTTCATTAAGAAATTATATCTCCAAAAAATCCAAGTAGTCTGATCTACTACTTAGTGATCTACTACTTAGTGATTAAGACCTATGTCTTAATCGCTATGGTATTTGTTGAAAAAAATGAACATGATATCATGGTTTCTTATATTCCGAGTCAGGATCTACATAAACTATTAACTACTGAATATACTGAAAACCTTACTTAAGACAGATTTAATCCAGCCACAAAGAGCCTTATAAGGATATTCCATAGTACCAAAAGGCCAACCAAAACAAACCAATAGATGTTACTATTTTAAAATTCTATGTAATCCTCAAAACCACATAATGAAATAATTACTATTATACATATTTTATAGATGAGGAAATTTGAGACACAACAACATTAAGAAACTTGCTTAAAGTCTGCCATCTCTGAAGTAGCTGAACAGGTATTCAAACTCAAGTCTCTACAACTTCAGAATAGATTCTTAAAATTTGTATTTTATGTTTCATTTGTTTGGTTTTTCAATTACAATGTTGTCAATCCTAAGAAACAAGAAGTGCTACCAAAGGCCTTTTGGGGAACAAGGAAATTCCAATATTGGACTGGAGCAGAGCTCAGTGCCAAATAAACTGGAGCTGAGCTTTGATGGTAATGATGGCAAGCTGGGGTTTCCCAATCTCCAACTAGATTAAACCTGCTTTGCTCCATTTCTTTTTTTTTTTTTTTTTTGAGATGGAGTCTCCCTCTGTCGCCCAGGCTGGAGTGCAGTGGCACGATCTCGGCTCACTGCAAGCTCCGCCTCCCGGGTTCACGCCATTCTCCTGCCTCAGCCTCCTGAGTAGCTGGGACTACAGGCACCCACCACCACGCCTGGTTTATTTTTTGTATTTTTAGTAGAGACGGGGTTTCACCGTGTTAGCCAGGATGGTCTTGATCTCCTGACCTCGTGATCCGCCTGCCTCGGCCTCCCAAAGTGCTGGGATTACAGGCGTGAGCCACCACGCCCGGCCACTTTGCTCCATTTCTAAAGCAAGTTTTCTTGTTTTTTTTGACCATAAAAGTAGCTGAGAAGCCTCACATGGTGGCATACATTTGTAGTCCCATCTACCCAGAAGGCTAACGGAGGATTGAGCACAGGAGTTTGAGGCCAGAATGGGCAATATAGCACCCAGATTTTTCTTTACCTTCTGGTCTGTTTTGTTTGAGATGGTCTCACTCTGTAACCTTGGTGATCCCAGGGATCACCTCAGCCTCCCAAGTAGCTGGACTACAGGTGCATGCCACCACACTCAACTAATTTTTTTGTATTTTTTATAGAGACGGGGTTTCGTCATGTTGCCTAGGCTGTGTCACTCAGGTTTTTCTATATTTCTGATGACCTGCGTGGGCATAGCTCAATGAGTTTGGACTACTAGCTACTGGCTATAATGCAGAACTCCCCTTAAAAGTAAGATGGGAAGGCAAAGGGAAAGAATAATAGCTATTCAAATAATTCCAGTCACGAGGCAAGATGGTATAGGGATAAACAGCCTGGACTCAAGGAAAGTGCCAAGATTGAAATGCTTATTCTGCCTCATAGTAGCTGTGAGACCTTGGAAAACTTATTTAACTTCTCTGGGCTTTCATGCCTTCATCTATAAGATAGGGTAATCATTTTACCTCTCATATGGCTAACAATTAAAAGACAGAATATATAAAAATTGTTTAGAATAGCACCTGACACTTGGTAGGTCCTGTTTAAATTTTGCTATCAACTTATAAATTACTGTTATTCTTATAGTAAATGAACAAGAAAAAAATTACATATGTTGGATAGGCACTTTAGAGATTCTTTAGTATAAATAACTTGAATGTTTGCAATGACAATATATTTTAAAATACAGTCCTAGAAATGTGGCATATCTATATTAGTGTCCTAAAAATGGCTTTGGAAACTGATTTCCAGCATCTTCTAAAAACAGGCAAACAATTTTATAAACATTAGCAGAGAAAATTGGACATAAAGCAAATTACTCAATTCCACTAAAGTAGTATTGAACACCTACTATGTGCTCAGAATTATGCAATCTTGATTAGGGGGACATACAAAATCTAAACCCTATTCTCAATAAGCTTAAAATATAATACATAAATACAAAAGTGTATACATAAAACAGAAAAATAAGGCAAAGGACAAGTAAATGTGACAGTAGCACATAACTCTGCAAGAAATTCTCAAGTACCATTAGAATTTATGTTTAACTTATAGAATTTAAAAAGTATCTATGTGTATGTTTAATGCCATTCTTAATGCTAGTGCCAAGAACAAGTCCAAATGATTGGTATTTTATAATATTAACAATTATTAAGGAATTACTTGAACAACAAAAAAAAGAGGGTTATTCGATAATTTTCATTGTAACTTACTCTTGCTATTTTGGTCTGCAGAAAATTCTCCCTTTCTTCATCTACCTTAATTTCATGTCCATTTTTGAAGAATTCAAGCATTTTGGGGATGTCACGGCCAATGGAATCTAGTTAGAAAAAATAAAATCCACAATTATCACTCCAAATAAGTAGTAAAAATTACTGAATAAAAGAAACACATATCTCATGTGAAGATACAGCAAACAAATAGTGGCAGATAAACTTTAGTTCCAAAGAGCTCTGTTTCCCGGTGTTCATGCTCTTGTGTGATCTCCTCTCATTGCGTGTGAATGAAACTTGCAACTTGCTTCAAACCAAGAGACAGAATAATCATGTGTACATAATTATATTACATAAAGCTATAATGCCTGTCTTGGAAAAGACTCTCTTCCTTATTGGCTTTGAAGAAACAAGCTGCAATGCTGTGAGCTGCCATATGGAGAGGGCCACAGGGCAACAAGCTGAGAGCAGTCTCAAGCTAACAGCCAGTAAGAAACTGAAGCCCTGTGCCCAGTAGCCTACAGGAACTGAATTCTGCCAACTGCGTAAGTCTGGAAGCAAATCCATCACCCATTGAGTCTAAGATGAAACCACCTCTCTGGCCAACACCTTGAGTGGAGCTCTGTGAGACCCTTAAGCAGAGAACCCCACTCAGCTACACATACATTCCTGACACATAGAAATGGTGAGATAATAAATGTGTGTTGTTCCAAGCAACTGTTTGTGGTAATATTGTTGCACCACTATGGATAACTAACACATAAGTATATGCAATAATAATATATAGCATACATTAAAAACACAGATGACATAATGAAATCAAATCTATAAAATAAACTATGGCAAAAGATAACAGCGGCCAGGCATGATGGCTCACGTCTGTAATCCCAGCACTTTGAGAGGCCGAGGCAGGCAGATTACCTGAGGTCAGGAGTTCAAGACCAGCCTGGCCAACAAGGTGAAATCCTGTTTCTACTAAAAATACAAAAACTAGCTGGATATGGTGGCGCACACCTGTAATCCCAGCTACTTGGGAGGCTGAGGCAGGAGAATTGCTTGAACTCAAGAGGCAGAGGTAGCAGTGAGCTGAGACTGTGCCACTGCACTCCAGCCTAGGCGGCAGAGTGAGACTCTGTCAAAAAATAATAATAACAGTACAGTCTTGAAATCTTTTAAGAACCTTCTACCTACCATAAAGAAGTAGAAAAAAAACCAACAACTAAAAAGCAGAAACATTTAGCAGTGGAAACAATATCATAATGAATGATACAGTGTAGAGGTAGCTCATTATTATGCAAATGGTTATAGAAACTGGCATGAGTTTCCATAGTCAGACATGCAGGTACCTGTAATCCCAGCTACTCAGGAAGCTGAGACAGGAGAATCACTTGAACCTGGGAGGCAGAGGTTGCAGTGAGCTGAGACTGAGCCACTGCACTCCAGCCTGGCAGCCTGGGCAACAGAGTAAGATTCTGTCTCAAAAAAAAAGAAAAGAAAAGAAAAGAAAAGAAAGAAACCAGCCTGAGAGGCCAGGCATGGTGGCTCATGCCTGTAATCCCAGCACTTTGGGAGGCTGAGGCGGGCAGATTACTTGAGGCTGTGAGTTCGAGACCAGTCTGG